TGTATTTCCCGTAGGGTCCTATGTTAAACTAAGTCCCCCGCTGGCGGCCATCTTGGATGATGGACCGACTGCAAAGTAACAACACTTGGTCAGCATCTCATAAGGAACTATCATGCCATGTTTGGTTCCATTCCATTCAGTGGTTCTCTAAAAGAAGACATTTTTATGTATTTCCCATAGGGTCCTATGTTAAACTAAGTCCCCCGTTGGCGGCCATCTTGGATGATGGATCGGCTACAAAGTAACAACACTTGGTCAGCACCTCATAAGGAACATTCATGCCATGTTTGGTTTCATTCCATTCAGTGGTTCTCTAAAAGAAGACATTTGTATGTATTTCCCATAGGGTCCTATGTTAAACTAAGTTCCCAGATGGCGGCCATCTTGGATGATGGATCGGCTACAAAGTAACAACACATGGTCAGCACCTCATAAGGAACATTCATGCCATGTTTGGTTTTATTCCATTCAGTGGTTCTCTAAAAGAAGTCATTTGTATGCATTTCCCATAGGGTCCTATGTTAAACTAAGTCCCCCGCTGGCGGCCATCTTGGATGATGGATCGGCTACAAAGTAACAACACTTGGTGAGCACCTCATAAGGAACATTTATGCCATGTTTGGTTTCATTCCATTCAGTGGTTCTCTAAAAGAAGTCATTTGTATGTATTTCCCATAGGGTCCTATGTTAAACCTAGTCCCCCGTTGGCGGCCATCTTGGATGATGGATCGGCTACAAAGTAACAACACTTGGTCAGCACCTCATAAGGAACATTCATGCCATGTTTGGTTTCATTCCATTCAGTGGTTCTCTAAAAGAAGACATTTGTATGTATTTCCCATAGGGTCCTATGTTAAACTAAGTTCCCAGATGGCGGCCATCTTGGATGATGGATCGGCTACAAAGTAACAACACTTGGTGAGCACCTCATAAGGAACATTTATGCCATGTTTGGTTTCATTCCATTCAGTGGTTCTCTAAAAGAAGTCATTTGTATGCATTTCCCATAGGGTCCTATGTTAAACTAAGTTCCCCGCTGGCGGCCATCTTGGATGATGGATCGGCTACAAAGTAACAACACTTGGTCAGCACCTCATAAGGAACATTCATGCCATGTTTGGTTTCATTCCATTCAGTGGATTAGAAGAAGTTCAAAATGTAAAAAGTTAACGCCGACGACGGACGACGCCGGATGACGCCGGACGACGGACGCCAAGTGATGAGAAAAGCTCATTTGGCCCTTCGGGCCAGGTGAGCTAATAAGAAAAAGGTACATTAAAGGCTATTTGACCTTATTGTTTACTGAAATGTGAACTTTCAATTTGAGATTTCTATTATTGTTGTATTAAAGCTGAAATAAAAAAAAAACAACAAAATTTATCACAGTAAATGTAGATATATGATATAATTTTTGTGAATATTCGTAGTTAATGGTTGATTCCAAAATGGTTTTTGAAATGTATAAAATGTATACGGTAATTAACAATATTTTTCTTCATGAATAACACCTCACTCTTTAAAAGTGAAACTGCACTCACGATAATTTGTAAAAATTGCATAAGTTTGTCATTTTTAAAGAAAATTTAAATTTCCAGGATCTTTTGACCTTAAATGTTGATGAATATTCATAACAACTGGAAGTTTTACAACTTAGACTTTACACAATTATTTAACTCAAATTTAAAAAAAATTCTAAAATTTAAAAAAATTCAAAAGCACTTTTTTTCATATTTCCCTTACTTAAGGAATTCTTCATTTTATCCTTGTACCTTTTTCTTATATACAATGTTAATGGTGTTTTAGTTTGACTGCAGCACAGTTTCTTACGAAACTGCAGAAACATTGACAGGTGTCAAAATATTAAGCTTTCCTGTAATAATATAGATTTCAAGTTTAAACATGAATGCATTTTGACATTGTTTTAACAGAAAAAAAAATTATTTTGAGCCCCGTCAAAACATAAATTAAGAAAATTCAAGCAATATGAAATCACATTTGTATAAATAGTAAAAAAGATATGGAACATATTTTGATTGAATACAGTATATATTAAATGCTTTTAAACAATACATTGTCATATTTAAACCAAGTTCCCTCCGTCATCTTTAGAAATCTAGATTGAGTCGGAACAAAACAAATGTCCCTGCTCGCAAAAATGCTTGAAGCCATTTTTAGGAGTGGAAATTTGAGAATGAAAGTTTGTATAACTGTTATTTTCACGAAATTTTCAATATTCAAAGCCCATAATTTCAGCAAAATCAGTGGAGTGGAACCAGACTTAAACAAACTCAAACTGTAACTCATCATAGTAGACTTACATACTAAAAATCAGCTCAATATGTGAAGGTGGTTAGAAAAAAAGTTGGTATAACTCTTATTTTCACAAAATTTTCAAAGTCCAAAGCCTGTTGTTTTAGCAAAAATCAGCAGGGCAGAACCAAATGTAAATTTGAACAGTTAGTCATCATAGTAGACACACATACTAAAAATCAGCTCAATATGTGAAGGCGTTTAGAAAACAAGTCTGTATAACTGCTATTATCATGAAATTTTCAGTCCAAAGGCCGTAATTTCAGCAAAAATCAGCAGAGTGGAACCAAACGTAAACTCATTCTGTAACTCATGATAGTAGACTTACATTCTAAAATTCAACTCAAAATGTAAAGGCATTTAGAAAAAAGTCTGTATAACTGTTCGTTGCGGAATGACAGAATGACAGATAAGGGTATAACTACATGGCCCGACAACTTCGTTTCGGGGTCATCAAAAACATATTACATATCATCCTGTTGGCCCTAGTAATCGTTGCTCTTCTTGTGGAGTATCAGTCATGTTAAAATATGAGGGTCTGGATGTAAGGGTCTTCACTTTTGTATTCTTAAATGTTTCAAGCAGTTTTTTTTTTCCATTTTTTATATTTTTGCCAATTATTCTCTGTTCTTTATATTTTAGCACCCCATTATTCTCTAATCTTAAATTTTTTAGCCCATTTTTCTCTATTCTATAGTATTTTGGACCTTTATTCTCTATTCTATAAACCCCATCCAGATCCTCAAATATGAGTATCTTTAGAAAATATGTAATAACAATTACTGTTCTTCATAGCAATTTGTTAAAGACAAAAGCAAAAAAAAAAAGAATATCACTGATATGCTTTGTACACTAAATTGGTCATTGTTGGTCAGTAGTAAAATACTACAAATTCACATAAAAGAAAATCAACCCAATAGTGTCAAAAGAATATTGATAAACAATTCAAAACTTAAAGCATAACAGAAATAAAAAAGATACAACCTTTAACATGTTTAAAATAACAATACACTATAAACTGTCTCCCTTTTAGTTTTCACATATTAATTAAAAATAAATAAATAAATACCTTCACAGTATACAAAATTTACTTTGTTTTAGCATTACTAAAGTATTATTTTACAGAACATCAAATGTATATATTTGAAGATAACATGAATTATTCTCCGTACAATTTCATCATATTAATAAAATACATAAAAAGAAAGAAGGAATTCTTATTATTTTTAACCATTTACTATTTGTTGGACGATCGAAATCTTTCAATATTTTCAAAGTATTTATTTCGTATGGGATTGATGTTTTATTGGCGTTATTTAATAAACATATAAAACGAAAATGAAAACAAAATATTGAAGATATCAAATAAAATTAAAATGTAAAAAAGGAAGGTTTTTTTAACACAAATATATTAGAAAAATATAAATACTGACTAGAACTACACGTAATTTTAAGGAATGCAAATTATAGAATGAAATTGCATAGTGATTGCATAAATATCCAACTGTAAATATTTACAACCGCATGAATTGCAAGATTTTAATATAGATCCTGAGACTAGTATAGTTTTGTGCACTTTCGATCATGAAAGGTAGTTGAATAGTTACACCTTGTTAAAGAACCATAAAATTCTGAAGCAAAGAGGGACTACCTGCTAAATTCTGATGAGCTATAACACTATACTTGTGATCTTCCATTTGGCACATTATTATTAACCATTTGATAATCAAAATTTACACAGAGAGATGTCTTGCATTTAGGTTATTTTGATCGTATATCTTACTTTGCCGAGGCAAGCCAATCAAACTACTTTGTTCTGTCCCTTTACAAAATTTTTAAACGAAAAAGGAAGGACTCTATCTACAAAAAAATAACTTGATTTTTTAATACATTTTGTATACCAGTAAGTAATACACTGTTACAGTCCAAATTTAAACATATATATGACCATTTCAGATTGTCAACTATAATTTGACCTAAACATAAAACATCTTATCAAAAGTGAACAAATTGCACTATAACACACACCCAACCATATGGCTGCCATGGCCATATTAGGAGTTTTTAATTACTAGATTGAAAGTCAATCTTATATGATAAATTTGGTGTGTATACTGCAATTAGCTTACAGGATACTATATCTGGAGTTAACAAAATATTGTGGTTTTGTAATGAAGTTATGATATTACTTTTTTACTTGAATCCTCCTCTTTGTAAGAGTTCTTATGTCATATCATGAAAAAAACTGCACATCATAATAAGGTTAATATAGCAAAAAATATGGCACATTTATCAAGTTTGCACAAAAAGTATTAGTTTATTTAGGGTTTTTGCTCAATTTTGTATTACAATACATATAATTTTTATATCTTTATAATTTTAACATAGCGGGTGGATTCATTTTAAATCTGCATTAAAAATCAAGAAAATACTGCTTTCCTTATATAAAGATATGATTTTGAGAAATTACACTTTAGATTTAAAATAAATACAAATCCTCAATGTGCCTGACTATCTTGAGGGTGAAATTGTACTTTCAAACTTTGATCTATACTGAGTACTGAATTTTTCATAAAATTCCTGACTTCATATGGATTACCCTTTTCGTCTAACAAAAGTCATCTAGCAATGCACAGTCACTAAGAATTTTGAGAAAAATTTTCAATGTAGAATTGCCATTTTTTTACTGTCACTAAAATAATACTTCTAAAAATGCACAACATTATTTTGTATTTGACACACTATTATGTTTATGATGTTTATTTATGTAGGAAGTTTTCATCAGAATATAGCATTGGATTAGTATCATTAAACTTAAATAATTATAGCTTGCATGTGAAAGCCTGGTTACAAATGGGAGATAACTCTTGTAAACAAAGAACTATCATTATTAGATGGGAAGAGGTAATTAATACAAAAGTATAAAATTCATGGAATACAGTAAGTAATTTGATTTCAAGTTATTAAACTGAGACTTTACATGAGATCATTGATTAAAAATAGACACAAATGGAATGATATTTGATAAATTACAATATCACAGCACCGTTCAAGTTTCGGAAGTGTAAAATGATATCTGTTTGGCTTGCTCATCATCCTAATAAATAATCATCTCTATTAGCTGCATACAGACCCATATGAACACCTTGCACTATAATATCTGGTAAACTACCTACAATGAATACAAAATCTAAATCAACAAAAGAACAGAGTTCCCCATTGATGCACAATCCAAGGGCAATTACACAAACTAATTTGATTAGGGATTTTTTAAAAATGTTTCATAAAGATCCTACAAGAAATGTAGTCATGAGATTGTTAACAATGTTATTATCCATATGTTTTCTTTTTCCAAGAGGCATGTAAAAATAATTGGTCAGCACTCTTCCAAAACCTTGCTGACAAAACCAGATATAAATTTCATAAAAATCTGACAAAAAAATAATGGTGTAAGAGTACTTTAATACAATGCAATGTTCAATATAAAAAAAATTACATTTCAAAAGAATTGATCAACGCTCAAAATCATTCAAGGCTTTGCATATATAAATCTTTGATATCAATTTCATAACAATTCTACACGAAAATAAGGCTTGAGAGCGTTTACAATGCAATTTTCCATATAATTTATTTTTCCAAGGGGCATTACTCATGTTACTTCTTTAAAAGTAGTTGTTTGGCCACTGATTGGCCAAGAATTGTACATGTCAGAGTGTTGAAATGGAGACAATTGATACAAGAACCATAATAACATTATAGAAATACTGATTTAAATGATCATTTGGATCTTTCTGTTATACCTAAACGGGTTCTAGTTATATAAAGGTTTCTGCTCTTTGGTCGGGTTGTTTCTTTGAGACATTTCCCAATTTTATTCTCAATTCTATTTATAGCTGTTATATTTGTACATTTAAGAATCAATACAGATCATTCTTATAGGGTCAATAATTAAGGGGAGATCATACATTTGTTTTCTCTTTATGAATTGTTTCACATTATGTCATACTGTGGCCTTTTTAGCTAACTATAGGATACAGGTTTTAGTCTTTTTTTGAAGGCTGTATGGTGTCCTGTGATTGTTCACGTCTTTGTCTTTTGGTCTTTATAGATAGATGTCTCATTGGCAAACATACCACATATCATCCTTGTTTTCATACAGTAAACATTATTTCAAAGACATTTTTGATTCGACAATTCAATGTCAAGTTGACATATCCAAGAAATCACTTATTACACCACTTACTTCTATTACTCTCTTGTAGAAAGGCATCCGCCGTAAAACTTAACAAAGGATGATGGGAAGGAATGTTCTCATTGCTCTGTTCAAATGATCTACAAATAAAACAAAAATACATATAAAGTACAGTAAATTGATTACAAATGTATGGAGATGTTAAACATACATCAATAATACAAAAAATACAAAAAATTAAAAACACAGAAAAAACTTAAGAATGAAATAGTGTGGGTTGATACAACCATACATTAAAGATTTTTTTTTAATTGTTTCCTCTTTTAATTTTGTGAATCTTTAAAACCTATAAAAGTTTCCTGTTAACATAACAAAGTCACAAAGGAAGTAGAGAAGGATGCTATAGTTTATGGAACAGACAAAAACAAAAAGCATGACTTAAGCTACTTAAGAAATGATTTCCTGAGAGGAGGCAAACAAGTCTTTCTCCTTCCATTTTGCCATGGTGAGGTATTCTTATACCCTTAATGGTTAAAGAAAAGTCTATATGAATTAAGTATCAATTGGCTCAAATATTTTTTTTCAAAATTTTTTGAAACATGCAATCCAATGCTTTTCCTGTATTTCCTATTCTCCCCCCATTATTTTATTGTATGTAGCTTGAAATTACTCGTTTGTTTCTGGAGTTACCATTACAATTGAGGTTAATATTGATTTAACGTTCATGATGACAGAGAATTGGCCAATACAGACTCTGTAGTCGGTAGTTCTACTGTAGATTTATATTATTTCATTTTTAATGGAATTTCGGGTATCATTCACTCTCTTCAAGTTATCTTGTGTTGTATCTAGAAAACAAGTCTGATAGACTCATGCTAATTACTGGTAATCTTTAAATCCAGAATAACTTCTATCACTTTATACATGTATAAGGGTATTGTTGGTGTTTACAGAATAGAGAATCTACAAAAACTGCAGAGCAAAGGGCCAAAAAAAAAATAAAGAATAGAAAAAAATAACCAAAAAAATAAAAAAATAGAGAAAAATAAGCAAAAAAAAAAGAATTGAGAATAATGAGGAGATGAAAATAAAGAATAGATAATAATGGTCAAAAAAGATAGAGAATAGAGAAAAATGATCTAAAATAAATAAAGAACATAGAAATGAAGGACCCCTACACAGACCCTCATGTATTTCTTACTTACTCTTCACTTTGACAATCTGGTAATGATATTTCCAAAAAATTCAACATTGACTTAGACAACCTGTCTCCCTGCAAAACTCCCTGAATGAAAAAAAATGTATACTTGGGTTAGCAGAGTAAATTCTTCACATAAATGTAAGAATGTAGAATCAAAATAAATGATAAGCCTATCTTATAGTTTAGTCTCCAAATGAATCAATGATATATAAATGAAAAATTTATAATTTAACTAGATTTTGCTTAGTCTTCAAATAAGTTTAATTTGCCTGCAATGAATGAGGTAAAAGGTAAACCATAGGTGTCAAATGTGTACTAGGCATACTGTACAATGTAAAAGAGGTAGACAATCTTTATATTATGGTCTGAAGTTTTCCACTAGACATATGTCTTTTGCCATTGACCATATATTCATGGTTAATGACATCATAAAATCAATGAAAGTTTCCATGATCAGGTGGCCTTTTCAGTAGATATAAGTAATGTTTATATTTGGCTTATGATTACAATATCGACATTGAAAGTTTGACCTTTACCTTACACACTTTCAACATGTAATTTTCAAAACCGTTCTCCAATCTTGAAATTTTGAATGTTTTCTCTTTAACCTGCTAGCCTTGTTTATATCCTGTGCAGGGCATAGAAAATCTAAACTAAAACCTGTGTCCAGGATAGAATTGTTTAACTATTGAACAATCAGAATTTTACTTTAAATTAGGTTAAGACCTGCATGTTTTATACTGTCATGGTTGTAAGTGAATATAAACCGTGATACCTGTACATAATTTTGTAAACCAAGCCTCCTTTGTTCTAACACCTTAGAGTTCCATTTCATGACCTTTTTAGGAGGAAACTCTGGTATTCTCATCCCTGCTATCTTTTTCACCTGAAATTAATAATGTTAACATTTTCAATATTTTGAACCATAGATGAGCTTTTATAATTTCATGATTTTTTTATGTTTGGGATAAATTGTAATTCCAAACGTAAACTTGACAGTTTTAGAGACTTGATATTGCCTACCAATACCACACATTTACATTTGTCAGTCAATATTAAGGTTACATGTATGTTAACAAATAAGTTGCTTTATGATCTTTCATTATTGGTGTTATGTCAGTTTATATTTCACAGTTGCTTACAAGACTAAAGACCAGGTGTAAGCCAAGGCTCTGTATTGAAGGCCGTACTTTGACCTATAATTGTTAACTTTTTATACATTGTGACTTGGATGGAGAGTTGTCTCATTGGCACTCATACCACATCTTCTTATTTATATATAAAATTTATATTTAGAAAACATATGTATTATGAATGTATGAACAATTTCAACAGTATACACTGCTTCAAAGAATAATATTATAATGAAAGTTACCTCTATCAAATGCATATATGTACAATCAGTGATTTGGTTTTAGTTTTCAAAATTGTGACTGTGTTGTTTTAAGTTATCTCCCTTATGTGAACAGACTTGTACATCATTTTTCACAATTTGTTCTTTTTATTCCCTTCACATCCAAGTACTCATTTAAACAAACACCCTATTTAGCTAGTTTAGTTCAATTTGGATAAAATATCTACCATTATAAATCATTTTGTGTCTAAAAGATATGAAACTGTCTTCAATATCAGCCTAAAACTAGACTAGACTGGAAGTGTTTCAAGTTCTTACACGATTTTTTTTTTTTTTTATCTTTTTATGTCAAATTTCATGCATATCCCTTTTTTATCATCATGAGTCATAAACCATTCCCCTAACTATTAGTTGTAGAGTGTTCTTGATTTGACCTTCTTCCAAAATTTGAATCAAGCAATCTAGTGGATTACAAACATATTCAATCATACCTGTTTATGCACTGCTTCAAATTCAGAATAACGCTTTTCAATATGTGTCATCTTCCCAGAACTGCAGTCCAAAACTTCAAGACAGAACACCTATTCAAATAAAATTGATGAATAAGTACAGACATTTAAATACAGATATTCTAAGGAGATAAATTAGTATAAGCACTTGGCGCTTGTTTCTGAATCCAATTAGCCACAATGTGAATTTATATTATATAAGATGTAATTAATTCATAATATAACCTCCTCGGTGGTCTCATGGTAGCCTGTTCACCTCGAGTGCGGGAGGTCGTGGGTTCGAACCCCGGTCGGGTCAAACCAAAGACTTTAAAATTGGAATTCGCTGCTTCTCTGCTAAGCATGCTGCATTAAGGAGTAAGATCAAATACTGGTCGGCTCAGAGTCAGAATAATGTGTCAAGGTAAGGTGACATGTCTTCCTGCGGACTGTTACTGTGTGAACTAGCACGTTAAAAGTCCGGCTCAGCGTGTCGGTCTAGTACAAAGCAGGGTAAAAATTCATACTACCAGTCTGTGCCAAACTGTTTTAAGGTTTGCCTGACCAAAAAAGAAATTTGAACTTTTCTACTATATTTTCAACTAAAAAATCTTAATATTTCTGTCTGACCGAATGATTTTTTGTCTGACATTTTGTCAGTCAGACAGAGTTTGGGATACACTGCTACTACATGAACATATTCTAGTGCGGAATATGCATATTAATTTGCAACTGGACGTTAAGCAGCCATCCATCATCCATCATCATCATAATAAAATATTGTTTATGCTAACGTTTCTGTTGTCCATCATAAGGGTATCATCATGATCATGGCGTTCTGGCCTAAAAGACTTGTTGACAGAGCTTATGATTATAGTGAATTTGTATTGTTCAATCATTGCATCATGTGTTTATTGCAAACCAAATGAGGTTTATGAGTATAAAACATGTATTTCATCTATTTAGAAATGTGTTAGAAGATAATTTTTTTACTCAGGTAAATTAATCAAAGAGTGATGGATTTCTCTTAGAAGAAATTTAAAGGTCCCAGTGAACATGGTGAATAAACTACACAGAGAACAATAGCTGTTGTATTTATTTAATGGGACAATAGAACTGACAAATGTTTAAACAGATTGACCAATAGATGAATCTGTGAAAAAATTTCAAATGTAGTAATAGACCACTTTCGAGTTTGTGAGTTTAGGGGCATCGTCACGTCCTTCCCATGTTTAGCTAGAGGTTGAAAAAATATGATGCTATATTGCACAAACTATTTGGCATATTAAATTCCTATAATTGATAATCAGCACAGCTGTCATTAGGGAATTGTAATTAAGTACCTACGGAACAAATATTATTTCTAGTTTATCCTGCATAATGAGGATCACAAAGATGCTTGATGAACTTTAATAGTGCATTAATACAGGCGGTCCCCTATATCTGGTAAAAGATGTCATAAAGGCGCGAATAATTGATGAACTTTTCCGGTGAAGGACAATGGAAAGTGGTCTATTAAAGTATCATTGCCAAAAAATAAAAATAGCATAAGAAGACATTTGTTTTGTTGTTGTTGCTGTTTTGCATTCCTACATTGAAGGAAGGCATCACAGCATAAAAATACACCTTTTTGCTATTTGTCTGCCATTACTGGACATCACAAAGATTCTCGTAAGATTTTGACGTCACACTAGAAAATGTCTGCTCCACAAAGGAAAAGTGATTGTTGCATGACGTCAAAAGTTCAAGTGTCGCAGATTTTCATTTAGCGATAATGTCTATAAAAATTAAGCATTACAAGACCTCATGTAATTATATGGACTTTCAGTTTCATTCTTCCATGCCATTGCCATGGACTTCTTGTAAAAATTCACTGACAAAATTAGACCTCTATATATAAATCAGTTTAAATGAAAGACTATGTCATGTATTGATATGTCATGTTATTCAATTTTGGGCCAATCCCCCAAAAAATATGGAGTTCCAGTTAATTTGCCTTCAGCTAATTGTCATTTTCAAATAAAAATGAAGTGAAATAAAGTGTTTGAAAAAGTAAAAGACCGTGTAAGTGTTTTGTCCATCTTCCACTTTTTTGTGAGCGGGTATTGCAACTCGAATCATTTTGTGCAACTCCAACACATACTGCAATCCGCCCAGATCAATGACCGTTTTTGTCGTTTCCTGATTTTACAATCGCCTCAAACCGGAAGTGCTTGTTTCTGAAACTTTCCAAAAAAATATTTATCTAATTGTCCAAAAATGTGAATTGAGGAAGGGAAATCCACATTTACATGAACTTTTCTCTTAAGAAGAAAATTATGGAAGTCCAGAATATGGCTAAAGCTGATTACAACGCAGAAAGAGATGAAGTCACAATTCTGAGTAAACATAGCTTCTGTGGTAGTGGAAAGAGGATTGTTGGTGCTATTTCAGTATTGTTTATACAGTCTGATAACAACTATTCTGCTGGTAAATTGAAAACAACATAAAAATTTACAAACACTATTTTAATTAGACTTAGAAAGGATCGAATCAGATAGAAACATGGCATCAAGTTTAGAATCCGGGTTGTATCGCCCGGTATCAGGTCTGTTCGCTCCCAATACACGTTCGCACCCTACACGTTCCTTCTGGGTTCCGTGCGCACCCAATTTTTATTCTAATGCTGATTGAATTACTAGATGTTTTTAGATGTATAATTATATTTTCATTATTGACATTAATAAAAATTCAGGAATTTCAAAATGATATATTGTTTTTCTGGGGGGGGAGGATTTGATGAAGACTGTAGGGACAATCAGACAAACCAGTTGACGATTTATTTAAATTTTTAAATACATTAATTCTTAATTAAACTGTTTAGTATATAAGTCTCTGATATTCAATTATTAGTGCATATATTATAGTATTGGTGTGTGAATGGTGTATAATGTGATATTAAAGATATTTTAGTGCTCTATTACTAATTTTATGAAGTAGTTACTCTACACTAGTGCTTTTTTTTAATGAAATAGTTCATGATTTGAATGATTGTGTAGGGTTAAAGTGCATGTAGTAGGAAACCTGTTTATGTTTTTAGAATGTCACTTTATTTTGAATCAATAAAAAAAAACTTATTATTCCAATACACTAACTAAAACATGATTAAAAAATCGTTCAACACAAAACCCATAAAAAGGTTGCGAACGTGTGGGGTGCGAACGTGAAAGGAGGCGAATGTGAATGGGAGCGAACATGATTTTTGGCGAACAGATCCGTATTCGTATCACCCATGAATCCCATTCACACCCTGTGTACTTTTACCCTGATACTCATTTACCTCTGGTTGTTTTTTTCAAATTATTAATTACTATGGTACCATTATCATTGTTAACATTATGGATGGGATTACAAATGTCACGATGTATTCCACATCCAGAGCCTTTTACCACATGAAAGCCAAAATATACCACAGAACTACATACAAATACAATAAAACGATAACTATAGATCCACAGAACATCTAAATCACACTACATGTACAAAATGCAAAATTAAAAACAGAATTAATTTTATAAATGTAGGGTTGCCCTCTGGGAATATTAACATACACATGAATATGCATATGCAGTGAATAAAATTAATCTTAAATATATATATATTTATTTGAGTGGTGAATAACTGTAATCTTTATGTGAAAAATTATTCTGTATATAGTAATATTGAAATGATGAATCAAATAAAGAGACAAAAAAGTGTATCTTTTTTTCTAAAATAAACTGAAATAAATTCTAACTGGAACCATACATGTACATTTTGTACCTATTCAGTCCTATTGAGACTGAAGCATATTCATTGGACTTTTGGTTTTTATATTCAGTGAAAATACTTTTCTGAAGAAAGCATAAATTGAATTTGTTTAAGAAAGTATTTTTTGTACATTGTACCTTTACATAAGATAATACTTCAAAGTTCTTTAAATATTTTTTTATTCATTTTTGATTATTTACTTGTCTTCAATATGAAAGGTAAACTCTATGGATGTTTATATAAATTAAGTAGCAATTTACTTTAGCTACCTAAAGGAACTGAGTTAATAATTTTTTTTATATCAATTCAATTCAATGTTTTATTAAAGTCTCATCCCTCAACATGTATAATCTATAATTATAAATTCAATGTTAATAATACTACATATAACATGTATAATGAGAGAGCCATTTCAACAGAATTATAATTATATAAGAGATTATTAAAATGCATAAATATACTACATGTTGACATTAAACAATATAAATAAAGTATTATTTACAATAAACATGATAAATAAGATTTCTTCATTTACTTAAAATTGATAACAAATTTTGGCGCAGGCACGTTGTTATATTTACATCTGAGAATAAAAACACAAATTTTTGGTTATATTGATTTCCTAATCATGAAGTGCACCAAGTGTTGTATAAATGAAGAACGGTGTATTTAAACTCTGAAAATTACTTAAATCTCTCAACAGTAAATACTAATAATGTTTCTTTCTTACCATGGTCCACAATTTTGAATACTGGCCTTGCACAAACATGACTTCATGAAACCTGTGAGAAGTGTTATTTCTGTTTTTTTTTGTTTCCTTCCGTTGAATTGGTGTTTCAAGCAAAAATTTTGTACTCTGAATATTGAGCATAATTTAATGACCAAGTTCTCAGTTGTTGGTGGTTGGTGTGGTATGGTATGCTCAGCTATGCTGTATGTGATATTTGTTATTAAATATTTATATAGACTATTGTAGATTCAAAAGTTATTTCCCTTTTGTAATGCTTTTTATGATATTTATATCTCATATAACAAGACAGATATTTAAAAAATATTGATATATTTTGATATATTATGTATGCAGTTATAGAAGCATTGGCAAACCTCATTTGCAAGTACATGTTGAAGATTAGTCAGTTAGTTGGCCCTGCCCCCTCAATCATGGTCATTGACTTTGAAACTATTGCATAGTTAACATGTTAAAGTTTGTGATTAGGTCAGTTTTAGGGAAACCACATATGATAAGTCAATAATATTTGATATGCAGTCGTATTAGCATTGTCATATCTTATTTCCATGGAAATGCTTTGGCTCTGTTCCTTCAGTCATGGTTTATTGACTGAAAATTTTACTTGTTAAAGCATTGCTATTTTAATTTCAACATTTGCATTTTACTATCAAAATTACAAAGAGGTGAGACATTTCTGTGTAAGTAGTTTATTGCTGTTTTCTGCTTTTTGGTGGGGTTGTTGTCTCTTTGACACATCCCACGTTTCCATTCTCAATTTTATAGTTATTGAAAGTATGATTTTATCTTCATTTTCAGTTGAGACCTGCAACAGTGATGAAGCATCAGAGAACAAATTACAACTTGAGATTCCTGCCTCCTTATCAATAATTAACCTACCTCATTTCAGTGACTCTATTTTACACAGATCTCACTTAACAGATAAATCCATTGGGAATATTGTCACAAAGAAGTTTATAAACAATTTAAATTCTTCAGCTGAAGAAAACGTAGATGAAGTAAAACATGGTGACTCTGAATCTGTATCAGACAAAAATGAAACAATTAAACAAACATCAGATGATGCGTCTTGTGTTCTTGTGCAGCAGCAATCCCAAACACAAGATAAAGAAGAAAATGAACAGACTGATTTGCATTTGGAGGAAAAGAAGAACAATTCTAATGAAAGTACCGAATGTACAAAGGTTATGATTGATGCATCAACAAACACCGATATACCATTGGAAAATAGTTTACACAAAGAAGAAAAAGATTTAAAGATGTCTGTTGATGCTGCTGCAAATGTATCAATTGATGCATCAACAAACACGGATATACCACGGGAAAATGCTTTACACCAGGAGGAAAAAGATTTAAAGACATTTGTGGATGCCGCTACAAATGTATCCCTTGTAGAAGTAGAAATGGGTAGTGGTATCCCCTTGAAACGAAAGAGAACAGCAAGCAATGAATCAAAAGAAACCTCTGACCTTAGTGAACCTGAAAGTGCCAGTATGTTTATTATAACTGAAAATAAATCCTCTAGTGAGGAAGATTCTGAGTCACAGGATTCAGTTGAACTTGAAAATACTAAATCTGACACTTTAAAAGAGAAATCAAATATAGAATTATCTGAACAAAGAAAAATGGAAGTACCTGAGGTCTCACCGATAAGTGAAGATGTGATTGCTGTTCACGAGACCAGCAGCATGGATACCGTTTGTACAAGCAAAGATATTGACTTAGATAATGAAGAATTTAAGAATTCTACAAATGTGAGTGTCGTTGATTTATCCAATATTCCTGTGTCTTATGCTAACTTACCATCAGAGCAAGTGATAGATAGAAATAATGACCATGGGGAATCAGTTCATAGAGCTAGTGCTAATACCTTCAGCACTGAAAATTTCAGTGGAAAAACCAATGAAGTGCAAAGAGCACCGCAGTCTGTTTTAGGAAATCAACGTCCTAAATTTATTAGATCAACATCACTGTCAAAAGGATCAAACAAAGCTACTATTGAAAAATGTAAAATATGTAAGAGATCGGTTTCTTCACTAGCTGACATGTTTCATCATAGTAAAATACACAATATTGGTATAAAATGTTGTGTTTGTGGAATGAAGGCTTTTGATTGGGGTGTGATGAAACACCACTATACTTGGCATCTTCAGAGGAATGCATTTAAATGTCCTCAGTGTCCAACTACATTTGGAAGTAGAGATTTGCTTGCAGCACACATCAAAACACATAGTACAGCAAAAAGTTTGGTACATATGAAAAAACCGAAACTACACCCTCCGGCTTCAAAATTTGTTCTTCCTAAGTCCGAACATAGCAATTTACCAAACCTAAGTGCAATAAATAGGCAAGATTCAAAGCCAAACATATCACCGTTCAGTAACAATAAAGGTGGAAGTTCTCACGTAAGACGGAAATTTACTCCATTTAGACAACATGTACAAACCCCAGAACATATCTTTCAGACTGATCAGAATCAAAGACGTTCACCAAGTAATCAGCTTGTTGGATCACAAAGTGGTACAAACATGATAAATGTAAATCATATATTGAATTATTCTTGTGGTTGTTGTGAAGAGAAGTTTGTCAATGTTGAGAAATTAAAAAGACACGTGCTAATGTATCACTCTGAACAAACCATGTCAGATTCAAGTTACTCACAAGATTCACAATTAAGTAGTTCATTTAATATCAGTAGAGCATCTACCTCAAATATAAACTTTACTAACTGTGAAAATTCTAGTTCATCTACAGCGGCCATACCATATCCACCGGAAAATTCTGGAATGCTACAAATTAAGGTTGAAGAGCCAGAAATAATTGACATAGAGCAACTAGGCAAGTTCACCGAAAACTTGGAAAATTCTAGATCTAATACAGGCAGTGATCACTTTACACAATACGATAATCAAACCGCAGAACAGCTACAACAAGAGGTAATGCAGTCCTTTATAGAGATTTCTAACATGGATCAGTCACAAACACCGGGACGTCAAAGAAAATCGGCATGTCGTCTGGCAAATGTTGTACCAGTTTGCCGTATCTGTGGAATTTATTTGAATTCTTGGAATGAAATTCTGGAACATAGGTTTGCTCATCCTGATGAAATTGGTCAACAGCTAGCGTGTACAGTATGCTCATCTGTGCTAAGTACACGAGACAGTCTTAAACGCCATGCTATCAACCATATGGGTATCCGACATCAATGTCAATTTTGTAATAATGAATATAGCCGAAAAGACAGTCTCTTAAACCACATGAGAAGCGCTCATGGTTATTCTAATAATTGAAAATGAAGGTTTTCACAAATGTTATACATGTATTATGTTTTAAGCATATTTGTCATTTTTTTTTTTATCATGTTTATAGCAGAACCAAAAAAGAGAAGAGGTCACTGCCTTTTATTTTTATGCAGTGTAACTGTTTATCATTGTCAAGTCAGTAATTTATGTAATATATTATTTTGACACTTACGGAACGGATCACTCTTTATTTGTCATTTCATTTATGTTGTCACATTTTTATCAATCTGAATCCCAACCAGTCTTGCAAAAATTTCTGCAGGATGTGAAGTTGTGCATCTTCTTTATATTGATGACAGGCCTAGAGGTGTCCTAAATTTCCAAATCCAATGTTGAGTCAAAATAGTACACAACTATATTATTCCAAAAACCAAACCAAACCAAAACTTAAAATTACCATTAACATATATGGTTATCCTATTTCATGTTTGAACATGTTGAAAACACTTGATTTCTTGGGTTATTCAAATATGGTTAAGTTGCGACACACATTTTTTTTTATTCTTTGATTCTAATGTGATTTTGTGCTGTCATGTCTTTAATTCACAATCCTTCCTTTACCACTAGATTATGTGGATAGAAAATTGGATTTCCATTTCAACAAATGCATTCAATAGCACAAAACCAATTGAATGGCAGGCTACATACATCTTACATGAAAGTGTCTTCAAAGATTTATTTTTCACTGGTTTACACATGCAAGCTTAACATGTTTAAGGGAACAACATATATATGTAATTTATGTCAAGTTTAATATCGTTTTTATGTCAGTCATTCATTGTTTATATGATGCCCAACTGATTAGCATGATGTCTTAAAGGATCAAAATCGGGATAAAACAAAAAATGTCCGGCTGGCACAAATATTTTTTGGAAGCCCTGTATGTAAAGTATATTTTTTAAACCTTATATTTAAAGGAAAGGGGTAAATGATTCTTACACATTTTCAGGTCAAACTATGTACTTAACTTCCAAATGGAAATCAAAAGACTATACTTTTATTCATGTATTTTAATATTTTGATAGTGGAAAATTGACATGTACATACATATACATACATACAATGTATACGTACATTTTACATTGAATACACAGAAGATATGCAAGAAGCTTTTGTATTATTTTGAAGCTTTGATCTACACTCAACTGTTTATATTCATCATGTTCAGTAGGGGACACACATCTATACTATGCTCGTCCTGAATATGCATGAAATATTTGCCACTGGACGTTAAGCAACCAACAATCAATCAATCAATCTATACTATGCAACTCTATCTATATATTTTGGCATAAATCAACTAAACTTTTGCAGACTCTTCTTAGGAAGTTAAGTTTTTTACCTCTTTTTTGATATATTTACTTCTGGGATTTTTTTCAGACAAATAGTATTTTTTTATGTAATTTATTTTGCTAAACCATAGCTCCTCTTTAAACCATGTATGAACTACAGAAACCAATCATTCATGTACTTATCATTGACAGATTCTATGAGTTGAATCTTTCTTTTGATTGTGTATTTTTACTTATATAAAAAAGGCAAAAATTGGGCTGGAACTATCCCTCATTTTTTTGCAGTTGGAACCTTTTAGTACCCCTATTAAAAAAAGTTTGTCTCCGCCTGTATATTTTATAAATCCAAATGACTTCCAATATAAACAAAAATTATGTAAGAAAATTCATATTTTGTTCAGATGGACAGGTAAAACTTCTCTTGAATAACTGTAATTTTTGTGGCCCCGCAACAAAGTTGTCGGGGCCATATAGTTTTACCCTTGTCCGTCATTCCATCATTCTGTCATTCCGTCAATCATTCCGTCATTCCGCAACAAACCATTATACAGGTTTTTTTTCTAAAGCCTTCAGATATTGGGCTGATTTTTTGGTATGTGAGTTAACCATGATGAGTTACAGATCAAGTTTAAGTTTAAGTTTCGTTCCGCTCTGCTAATTTTTGCCGAAATTACAGGCTTTGGACTTTGATAAATTGTTGAAAATCACAGTTATACGGACTTTTTTTCTAAACGCCTTCAGATATTGGGCTGATTTTTGTTCTACTAATTTTTGCTGAAATTACGGGCTTTGATAAATTGTTGAAAATCACAGTTATACGGACTTTTTTTCTAAACGCCTTCAGATATTGGGCTGATTTTTGGTATGTGAGTTAACCATGATGATTACAGATCAAGTTTAAGTTTCTTTCCACTCTACTAATTTTTGCTGAAATTACGGGCTTTGGACTTTGATAAATTGTTGAAAATCACAGTTATACAGACTTTTTATCTAAACGCCTTCAGATATTGGGCTGATTTTTGGTATGTGAGTTAACCATGATGATTACAGATCAAGTTTAAGTTTCTTTCCACTCTGCTAATTTTTGCTGAAATTACGGGCTTTGGACTTTGATAAATTGTTGAAAATCACAGTTATACAGACTTTTTATCTAAACGCTTTAGATATTGGGCTGATTTTTGGTATGTGAGTTAACCATGATGAGTTACAGATCAAGTTTAAGTTTCGTTCCACTCTGCTAGTTTTTGCTGAAATTATGGGCTTTGGACTTTGATAAATTGTTGAAAATTACAGTTATACGAAATTTTTTTTTTCTAAACGCCTTCAGATATTAGGCTGATTTTTGGTTTGTGAGTTAACCATGATGAGTTACAGATCAAGTTTAAGTTTCTTTCCACTCTGCTAATTTTTGCTGAAATTATGGGCTTTGGATTTTGATAAATTGTTGAAAATCACAGTTATACAGACATTTTTTCTAAACGCCTTTAGATATTGGGCTGATTTTTTGTATGTGAGTTAACCATGTTGAGTTACAGATCAAGTTTAAGTTTTGTTACGATATGCTGATTTTCATGTTGTTTCAACACATCTTCAGTACATCCACTTCCTGTTTGCTGATAGTTTGAAATTTAACTACTCATTGATCAAGGAAATTTTTCATCAAACTAGTATTGGTCTTGAGAGCTGGATACTATCCATGTATGTTTGTGTCCACATGTGTTGTTGAAATTGCAGATTTTTCTGTTTTTTGAGACAGGACCATTCGTGTCGTTCCGACACATCTAGTTATTGCTTAAACCACTCTACATGTATGTTGAAAGAATACTCTTAAGGTTATTATCTTGAAATGAAGTGATGACATTGCATAAAATGTGTATATCCTGATAACAAGCTTATTTATGTATCTGTTATATTCCTCAAGTATTTATATTGATGTTCTCTTATTTAAAGTCTGTTTTTAATGTTTGAGTTGTGTAGAATTAAGCATGTATTTATAGTGTGTGTAAGTTAGTAATTAGCTTCAGATGCAATATAAAATTGTATTTAGAGTTGTGAAACCTATTCAATTATTTACCGATAAGTTTATGAGAATTATTTTTTGTGTGGTTGTGTTTACACCCTGTATAACATGTGTGTATTTCCTTGCAGTCTATTATAGGTGGAAATGGTATTTATCTTATATATCTCAAAATGACTTTTTAGCTATATAGATGTACCAAAAACAAAACTTGTTTTCAATGATCCATAGCTCATTCTTGTCCAGAATTCCAACCAAAATCACTGCCATAATAAGTCAGAGTAATTGCAAGGAAAATGCATTTTTATCCAGCTGACTATTAGGGTATGTATTTTGCCCTTTACTTGTTCAAGGTCAAATCCTTAGTTGTTTATATCTTTGTCCTTTGGTGGATAGTTGTCTTATTTAAAATCATACCATATCTCCTTATTTTATTTTATTAATTATGGAGCAAATGAATCCAGATGTTTGTGAAATCGTCTAAAGATGACTTCTTTTCATTTGACACATGCCCCCTTAGAGGACGACCATTTGATTTTCTGGGGGAGAGGGAGGAGGATTTTTAAAAATGAATAACTTTGTCTGGTAAGAACTGAAAATATATGACTTTTCACAAGACAGGATGAAAATGAATATTCTGAAACATAAAATGCAGGATATTTGAGGATACAAATGTGTATAAAAGTGAAAATAAATTTTTGTACGGCAAAAAAAATTAAGCACACATAGTTACAAATGAAAATAAATGATCATTCTAGAAAAAATCCTCATGCTAAGACAATTTTCTTTTTCTTAAAAGATTTTTGTATAGTTTCAGCTAAATGAATATCTTCTTATAGATATCATTCATTTGAAATGTTAGGTTTTTTAATTAAAATAAAACAAAACTGGACACTGATGTAGACATAAAAAAGGGAAAATATATGATTACCATATTCTGTATTTTTTATCTATATGTTATCCAGAGCATTATATTTGTCTAAGTATAAATGTTTAGAATAGTAAATTTCATTTTTAAATCATGTTTGTATGATGAAAATAAAGTATCATAATATTTTATAGAATGAATCAGGGCCATGAATCTAGCTTTTACAATTGTAGAATCATAATTGCATGTCAGAAGGTGCCAAATGTATCCTTTCTTGTTTTTTACAGTATAAACATTATATGTACTATATCCTGTGTTTAGTTTAATGTTTCTGCCAAAATCCCTGAAAGTTTGAATAAGGCCTGTTACTCTAATCATTTGCAGAGAAGAGATATACAGAAAAAATTCAATCAAACAGTCTAACTTAGTGCATGGTTAATTTTGAAATTACTATCGGTAACTCCTTTAAACAAAGTTAACCTATGACCTTTTCTGCTTCTTGCACCCTTTGTCTAAGACCCTTTTGTGTTAGACCCTTATCATAGAAAAACTTAAATATTACCTACATGTATACATATGTAATGCTTTTGACTCTGAGTGTTCATGGTGAAGTTAATTCTAAAAAAGTTACTCAAATGATCAAATAAGTTTTAAGTTTAAACTGTAGACATGCATAACTATGAAAAATGAAGTGTTACATTGAATTGAAATATATACAAAGATGAGACTATGTTTAATGAGACGGATGTATAACTGCACAGTCTTGTCTTAATCTATGCCAGTCATTTCACAATCCTTGTGTACTGGATGTTTTTCTTTTATCGACAGCCCGTCAGACCTTTTAGGTAGAAATATTGAAATATTTGGCCGTTGTTTTCTTAAATTTAGCTTTTATTGTTTTACTCTGTAAAAGTTTACTATTTCTTTATTTCTAAACTAGTTTTCCACTAGATACATGAGATAAGCAGTGTTGTATCAAAGGGTCATGCATGGCATGGCTGTTGGTTGATTGAGTCAGTGATATTTGCTTTACGTCCACCGAGAAGTCCTGCATAAGTAGAACATTAAATCGTTCATGACTGTCAAACGTGTATATATATATACGTCTAAATATGTGACAACTTTACGACTGACGTAGCTATACAGGGCTAACACCAGTGGCAGATCCAGAAATTTTCATAAGGGGGGCCCACTGACTGCCATAAGAGGGGGCCCGCTCCAGTCATGCTTCAGTGGTCCTTAAATAATCAACCAAATCTTTCCCACAAAAGGGAGGGCCCGGGCACCCTGCCCCCCAAAAAAAAACCAAATCTGCCTCTGAACACAATTATGTATGTATGTCTAAATTATAGAACAACAACGTTAGATCTGCAAATTTGCGTTAGCCCTCATCGATATTAGAATCCCTGCTTCTGCGACATCTTGCACTATGTCTAGCGCCTTACACCACTCTGCCAACTAGAGACATTAGTCGAGTTATGCCTTTCCTTGTCGGCTTATCTAGAATTGTAACACAATACATGATGTATTGTGGCAATCATGTATTGTGGCAAGTAGACACTGAAAGAAACACCCAGTATATTTACTAGCTTACTTAGTAAAGGAAAAGTTCTAACTACTATTAGTACATTTGTTAATATAGTAAGTAGTCTTTCTGGTTAAGATTACCAATCTTTCTAATAAAAAAAATACTGGTCTTTCTAGCCTTATTACTAGTCTTTCTAGTAAGTTTACTTTCTACCAAGTAAATTTTACTAAAACTGCTAGTAATCTCATGGACAGTAAGCCATTTTACGAATTAACTAGTAAAAACTTCAGGTACTATGTATTTCTTTGAGTGGATGGTGTACCTTGCAGATCCACTGTTCTAGTCGGTCGTAAACTGGATTATAATTTCACTTACCATGCCGTCACATTAAATCTTTATTATATTATATGAGTCTAAATATGTGACAAATCTCCATAACCTGTGGTTATCAGCTGGTTATAAAAGGCTAACACCATAATTTTTATATACTTCGTCTGAAATTTAGCCCAAAAATGTTCGATGTTAGATCTGTAAATTTGCGTAACACAATACAAGATGTATAGTGGCAAGTAGATAGTGACTGTCTAGATTAATACAAGGAACTGCATTTCTTATATATTCAGTGGCGGATCCAGAAATTTTCATGTGGGGGCCCACTGACTGCCTAAGAGGGGGCCCGCTCCGGTCATGCTTCAGTGATTCTCTATATAATCAACCAAATTTTTCCCAGAAAAGGGGGGCCCCCTCTAAATCCGCCTCTGATATTTATTACAAGTCCTTGGGTAATATCAAGATGAATTGTTTCAACTTCTGATTACCGATTATCAAAAGTTTGCTGACTGTAAATGCAATGTATAGTCAAAGTCTATTATACCTTAAAGATATTATAATGATGAGTAGTGTAGTAGATTTCCAAAGCATACAATGAGGAGATTATTGTCAAATAAAATGTACCGCATATATTAAGAAGTCTTTCCATTTCAGGCTTTGAATAAACTAAGTTTAATCAAAAACTATCATCTTAATTTCATATTATTTATTGTTTAAACTTATTCCCATATGTAACAAATTATTATAGGTCTAACAAACATTAACAAATGTATAAAACAAGATATAAAATAAGATAAAATAACATATGATATCACAGACTCTCAATGATTCATTGCACGTCTTTTAAGTGCCCTAATAAAGCGCCCTAATATCACGAACTGTGCAATCTATGCAACAACAAAAAAATAAAACCTCAGAGATCTTGGCTTCCGTAGTACAGTTTGTAATAAAGGCTATTCTCTTTTAAAGAAATGGAAGTATCGTGTGATATAATGGACATCCAGTCTGTTGACATCATTGAAGCATTATTTGAAACATTCAAGTTCGTACTAAATATATTATTATATGGATATGGCGCTCCATTTCTCTCTAAATATTCTCTCGTGTAATTTGGCTTGAGAGTTTGCAGTCGTCTCAGGTAGTAAATGATACATGGTGTTGAGGCTGATTTTGATTTCAGGTAGTTGTACAGGCGTGTAGCAGAAAGTCCTGGGTATATTTGACATGTCATTGGTCGTTCTCGGCACTGAAAATCAAACAAATGAGTCAATTAACTTATGAGATCATGTAAGCTGCGGTTTGCAATTTATTTACATATCAACCAATTACGCTGTAGACTATACCGATTTGTCGAACGGTCTACCCATTTTTATGAATGTCTGCCGGTTTGTAGCAGAAAGAAAGAGATATACATCGTATATACGTACGCTGTGTTAATTTATGACACACGCACTATAAACTAACAAAAAGCAAAGGAACAGCGCCTTCTAATACTTTAATTGAAAGTAAGACTTCGAGGTTAACACTATGAATAAATATTTCAAATTGAAAATAATCAAGATTTCAAGATTTTTATGATTTTCAAGATTTAAGATTTTATTATAAGCAAGTTCTAACAAAGCATGAATCCTTAAAAGAAGAAGGTTATATTTCCAATATGGGCACGAATATTTATCATGACAACACAATCAATATTTCAACAGATATCAACAAACTTAAGATCTACTAGTATTGAAATTCAGAGTTTTTATCTAATATAGCTGATCGGTTACAATCCTAGTAAAATTTGAAGAAGATACTAAGAAGACGGTAAATAAAGTCGAAAAAAAAAGAAATCATGATAGGACACGCAAGCCATGCAATATCGTACCAACTGGGAAAATATATTTTATATTCATTTGTTGCTACATAGAAATGGAGAGTTCATAATTTAATCACAGAAGTTTTATCATTTTTCGTAAATGTTATATAATTTTTTACCTCCGAATTAGACTTAATTATCACCGGGTTTGTACTTAAATGAGCAACACAAAAGGTGCCACAGAATAAGAATATTTTTGTTCAAATTCATGGCACTTTATTGGCACTGCGGCATGACATTTACATACATAAAAAATACACTATGATTTTGTACAACATTTTCACGTTGAAATAAAATATTTTGGGTGGGGTTCGTGTTGCTCAGTCTTTGGTTTTCTGTGATGTGTTTTGTATACTGTAATTGTTTGTCTTTTGATCGTTTGCCTTATTTTTTCCATGGCATTGTCAGTTTGTTTTCGATTAATGCGTTTGATTGTCCATTTTGTATCTTTCGCCTCTCTATCATGCTATCCAGTATTAAATAAACTAATTTCAGCAATTTAAGTAGTCAAAACAAGTCATTTAGTTTTTTAGTGTAAATGACGTGTAACTGAATTTATATATCTTCCCTATTGATAAGCATGCAAGTTATTTCTTTATGTATTACCCCCAATATCCGCCAAATTGATGTTATCATACTACATCGACTATGTCCTTATACACTGAATTATTCAATAGTTTAATGGGTGCCACATGTGGAGCAGGATCTGCTTACCCTTCCGGAGCACCTGAGATCACCCCGGTTTTTGGTGGGGTTCGTGTTGCTCAGTCTTTGGTTTTCTATGTTGTGATTTGTGTGCTGTTGCTTGTCTGTATGTCTTTTTCTTTTTTAATCATGGCATTGTCGGTTTATGAGTTTGAATGTCCCTTTGGTATCCTTCGCCCCTCTCTTAATGATAACTGATTGCATGTATTCCATTGTATTCAAAATAAAAGATATAACAGATACAGTTTATCTTCTTCATATCTTGATTTACATCTAGAAATTGACAACGAGGATCAGGTCAAATTCGAGAAAAAGAGGACGTAATTGTGATTACGACAATTGGAACATATCTGTCGTCATCTGTGAAACAGATATCCCATAATGGTCAGTGTCCGTTTTCGAAGTGATGATTTCAACTACACTCCTTGGAACTCTTAGTTTATTAGCTTCATTGTAAGCAGCAACCCTCTACCAAGGAAACCGCCTCGGTGGTCTCCTGGTAGCGTGTTCGCCTCGAGTGCGGGAGGTCGTGGGTTCGAACCCCAGCCGGGTCAAACCAAAGACTTTAAAATTGGTATTTGCTGCTTCTTCGCTAAGCTCGCGGCATTAACGAGTAAGAGCAAAGACTGGTCGGCTGGGAGTCAGAATAATGTGACCGGGTAAGGTGACATGTCTTCTTGCGGACTGTTACCTTGTGAACTAGCACGTTAAAAATCCGGCTAAGCGTGTCGGTCTAGTTCAAAGCAGGGTTAATATTCATATTACATTAACATGTTCTAGTCCTGAATATATGCATATTAATTTGCCGCTGGACGTTAAGCATGATCCATCCATCCATCTCAATCACGGAAATCATTTTAGGAAATGCAAGCTCTGGAATATC